ACCGTTATCGGCTAATGACTAAATAACATTAGCTATTGGTAAATTAAAAATTGAAAACTATTTACAATAATAATACAATATTTTGAAATTGTAATTTTTAATGAATATTGATATGTTGGGTAGTTGTATAGAAGTGAGCCATGTACGTGGTAAGTAAAATATTTTCAATAATATAAATATTGTACACAGTTGTGTGTATTTTGATATAATTTTAAAATTTATATTGATTACAAAATTTATATGTATGCAGTTGCATACAATATTGTGTGCTCGATAGAGACAGTCCGTAATAATCTATCGTAATTACCGATTCAAGTTTGTAAGTAGTTAAGGTACCAGCTTGTAGTACTTTGTAGGTATATCTTATTTTCAAGCCTGGGAGTTACTAAGTTAAAAGTTAAGTTAAATTAACTTATTAACTTTAACTTATTTCATTACTAATAAATAAACTAAACTTATTAACTTAATTTATTTCCTTACAAATTAACTTGAAATTAACGTATTATTTTTTTCGTTTATCCCATAAGTTAATTTTGATTTTCCAAATCAGAAAATTTTTTTTATAAAATATCGCATTTGATATTAAGTTCATGGAATTTAAAAAAATATAAAAATAAAAATTTCGAAGAATTTTTAGATGAAACCATAATATTTATCTCTATTTAACTATTGATAGAGGTCCCACCAGTGTTGCCAGACGTACGGACGCGGTTGGAGGCATATGGTAATTCTATAATATGTACGGTATGCAGACGGATGAATAAAAACGATGATACATGATACGGTAATTTGAATTGTTTTTATTTATTATAAAAAAAAATAAAATAAATATTAATAATAAAAACCATTTAAAAATGTTGCTAGTTTTATATTAAAAGTTCTGAGCTTACTTCACTCTTCAATTGATCGCGAGAGGGTGTTTTCATAAATTAATTTAATAGAAACCAAAGTTAAAAATAAACAACTAAGTACTGAAACAGTTAACAGTTTGCTCTTAGCAATTGAACATATGAATCAAAGAACTAGTTAAGTAAAATTTAAACCAAAAAGAGCAATGATAAGTTCAATGACCAAACATATTTATGAAAAACAAGAAATTACCAAAGAAACAGACATTCAAGGTAATTTGGACATTTTACAAAAATAAAATATTGGACTATTTTTATAAACTAATGTGATTATACAAATATTTTTGTTTCTTGGTGAAAAAATATAGGCAAGTACGGTAATTAAACATCCGATACGGACATTTTAATCATATTCTCCCAACCGCAGTCATTATAGATCTGGCAATACCGGGTCTCACCGTTCTCGGGAAAAGTATTCAACCGTCTTCAGACTACTAAGTAAAAATAGTCATGCCACCCATGAATTACATTACCATTGTCATGAAAAGTGGCCGTAAATCTATATAATAAAAATAGGTACATATTATCATTGACTAAATAATTCTTAATAATAATTGTACTCTATTATTATTAAAATTATTCCATAATCTACGACATTATTCAATATTATTGAATAAGAGAAGAAATGAAAGAATTTTTGTATGACTTATACCGTTTAATTATTTGTATGGATAATGTTATTTAAACATTAGCCATATGCATCTGGATAATGTTAAATATTGGTGGATAAAGTCCGAAATTTATATATTAGCCAAACGCAGTAATTAAACTTATGATTAATCACCTAAACTTGAGTTTAGCCATACTCCTAATACTAGCCGTAACGTATATATATTCGAGATTACAGCCCAATGGCGTACCTGTGGGGGGGGTCGGGTCTGGACCCCCATTGAAATTTCTACATACTCAAAGATTTAATAGTAAATAGTGTATTTTAATTTCCTATTATCTTCATATACAATGTTTATAGATTATACAGAATGATCGAGAAGTCGCGGACATCAAAATAAACGAGTTTGTAAATAGTATTTTTTATCGAATTACTTATACTTTTATTTATAGATACAAATACAAAAATGATTCAAAATTAATTTATACATTTGCATTATGTGTGTTTTACAATATATACTCAAAATGGCTACGTTGTTCATTAATGAATGCATGAACACGTTTTACCACGTTTATAGCTACTTAGTGGAGTACGCTAGCATTAAGTTAATCTTAAACCCAGATATCTTTCTATGGAATAATCTTAATGGAAGAGTTTATAAAAATAGACCACAAATATTGAATGAACTGAAGAATAACATAAAAATGGATATTAACTTAATCAATGCTAGCGTACTCCACAAAGTGGCTACAAACATGGGCGCAACTAGAGCCCAAATATTGAAGGTGCTGAAATTGCTGAAAGTAAAATTAAATGGTATTTAACTGTAATTAATATAAATTATATAGATCTGAAAAAAAAACAGGAGTGCTACATTTAATCTCTGGGGTGTTAAAAATCCTATTGCGCCCCCTAGTTGCGCTTATGGCTAAAAACGTGATTAAACGTGTTCGTGCATGCATTAATAAACAACGTAACCATTTTGAGTGTATATTGTAAAACACGCATAATGCATATGTATAAATTAATTTTGAATATTTTATGTATTTCTATCTATGAATAAAAGTATAAATAATTCGATCTAAGTACTATTTACAAACACATTAATTTTGATGTGCGCGACTTCTCGATCACTCTGTTTAATATACCTATAATGTATAAACTATACTATAGTATATTAACAGTAATTTGTTGGTATTGAGTTGAACTATAATTATAATTAGAGAACAGATAAAATAGAAATACTGGACCACCGCTATAAAAAATTCCTGGGTACGTTCCTGTTACAGCCTAATTTCGACTAATTGTCAACTAGTGTTGATATATTATAATTAGGGCTGGGATTTTAATGCCCTAAAAAACCCCGAAAAATGTCCTAAAAAAAAATGCTTTTATGACCTAAAAACTCTAAATAATGCCCTAAAAAAAACCCGAAAAATGCCTTTAAAAAAATGCTTTTATGAACTAAAATTTTTTTTATTTTTAATAATTTTAGTATAAATTACAATAAAAAGTTTTAAAAAATGTATTATAAAAATCTATTACAAGTGTAAACTGTAAATACATAGTTTTAGTATAAATCTAAAAAAAAAGTTGTACACATAGACTTAATCTCATAGACGTAGACTTCGTTCAATCTGAACAAAAAATATTTTTATAAATTATTTAATACGTTTAGATCGTATATTTATTTACCTGTACATTCTGAACTGTTACACTGAACCACGAGAGCTTGTTTCAGATTTTCAAATAAAAATGATATTCTGTTGTCTGCCAGTAAGTTCTTGTAGTTATTTATCAATTCGTCAACATTTGGAAAATGTATTCTTATTTCTTCGGCAACTCTATGCAAGGCGTGCGCCAAGCATGTAACATGTATCATTTTCGAATAATAAGTTTGAATCGATGTGGCTGCTTTTACCATGTACGGAGCAGCGTCACTTAAAAATAAAAGGACATTATCGTGTAATATTTCTTGTGGCCATAATATTGATAAAGACTTATCCAAAACTTTGGCAATTGTACTGTAATTGGTTTTTTCTAATACTTCTGAATTTAATAAAAACATTTTACCTATGTTACCTACTTCTAATGTACCTATTATAACATTGGCAACATAACGACCATTGGCGTCCGTCGTTTCATCGATAGAAACCCATAATTTTTTATTTTATACGTATGACCTAATCATCTGTATAGTTTCATCGTAACATATACTGACGTAATTTTTTTGTAATGTGGAGCGATCAGGCGTTTGCTTATTGGTATATTTTTCCAAAAATTTAGAAAACGCAGGATTTTCGAGTTTATTCAACGGAATATTACATGACAAAAATGTACGAGTTAAATCTAAAAAATATTCCGACCTGTTTGGTCTGTAATAAAACTTTGTGTATTATTTTTTTCGTTTTGTAATTTACTCCGTTCTACTCCATTGATGTGTTTATCTCTTGACAAATGTTGTACGGCAAATCGTTTTTTCAGCAGTAACTTTTACGTTGCATATTTTACAGAATAACATCAATCCGTCGGTAGAAAAAATATTATGTCGAAATTCTTGTACAAACGCACGCAGTCGACTCGTTGTCGAACATTTTACTTTTGGCATTTTTATATTAAATTACCAAAAAAAAAATTAACCTGAGTAATAAAACGGTGTTAACCACGACAAAACTCGTACTGAACGTCGAACGATATCATCAGACGTCGATTTTACCGATTTAAGATTATTTAACAGGAAATGCGGGTAGAGATTATTGTCCGATAATGGTGACAAACCGATAATATAATACGAATTACGAGTACCTACTTATAATCTGTTATATTTATTTAAAAACCATGTTGGTGTAAAAATCTTAAAATAAAATTTCAAATTCATGCACTTGGTTTCCAAAAACTCAAAAATTGCTCCAAAAATTCTAAAATGCCCTAAAAAATTAAGAAAATGACCTAAAAACTAAATAATGCCAAAAAAATGCAAAAAAATGCAAAATAAACTTTCTTATTCTCATTCAAATGTACATAAAACAAATTTGTGACAAGACGAGCATTGCACAGTAAGCTTTGAAAAAACAATGCAAAGTGCATCGAAATCCCAGCCCTAATTATAATCAATGTTAGAGTGTATACGGAATGATCCCAGATAAACACGAATAAAGTAATCGAATTAAAATAATAATAATAATATCAATATATAGTATACATGTGCGTTATTTCGACATGCGGCACGTACGCGTTATCGTGATTGCGATGAGTAATACCCGTAATTAAATTGAACAATACGCACTCGTCTTCATCACCATACGTTGTCGTAAGAGGCATTAAAGAGAAAATTTACTCCGATAAAGCGATGTCAAAATATTGTAAATGGGGTGTCTCATTACATGGCGATTTATTGATCTATGCGCACGTGCCTGATTTTATCGTAATAATGGCTGCGAATACACAGTTTGAAATATTTGACATCGAACTTTTTATTCCAGAAGTAAAGAGGTACCCTGAAGTTTGGAACTTGAGTTGCAAGTCATATCATGACAGAGTCGAAAAACGATTGATATGGATTAATATTTATCGTGCATTTTTTCTGGGAATTCGATAAGAAAGAAAATACAGAAAAAATGAAATAAGTAAGAGAATATATTCACTAGATTATTATTTTTTTTTTTATTCACATTAAATAAGTAACATTTCAAATTTATGGTGACTTTGAAATAAAGTTAAACGAGGATAATATATCATGATAATAATTTTATTTCAATAAATTCAATCAAATAATTTTATGCTAACAAAATAATTTTATATTTTCAAAATCTTGTGGTATCTCGAATTAGTTTTAGTCCTTCTTGAGGTTGAAGTATCAAAATAACACAATTTAAATTTAGTTTAATAAAAACGTATAATTTACTCATTAAAAATATAACTTTAATGGAGAGAAAATAAAATTTAAAAGTCACAAAAATGTGGAACTATTGTCTTTACTTTAATTGTTTACAGGTCAATGTACCATACCTGGATGAATGAATACTTTCTTTGCACATTCACAAACATTTATTAGTTGAATGTTTTATATTTTAGAAGTATTTTTGTGCGTTAATACATTTTGCTTGCGAGAAAAATGTATCATTTAATATCTTTAATTGATTAAACATTCATAATAATAATGATGCAAACAATTATATATGTATGTTATTAATTTAATAATTATCTATTATCTATTAATTATTTTGTTTCTCTTATTGTTAATGTTTAATCTATTAAAAATATTCATCAGTTGATCATGTAACGCATAAGAAGTCTGTTTTTATATTATTTTTTGTTATTACTTTTATAAGTGCACAAACACAGTGCAGTGTTTACATAATATTATTACACAAGTTAAAGGTATCAAAGTAAATATTATAAATTAACAATTTTACTATAATTTTTAATTGTAATCTTAATATTTAATATTATTCAAAAGTGCTTATAAAATCTCATCATAACCAAATAGGAAATAGTATTCAAACTCGAATAACAATAAATGATTTACTTCGGTCATCAATTTAATGTAGAATAATAGGTTCCTATTATATTAAATTTGCAAAAAATTATAAATTGTTGAAAAATTAATTAATCCGTTTTTCTAGTTTTATGTTACTCATATGAAAATAATAAATTGAATTGAAAATAATATTTTTATTTATGATTGCATTTAACTCACTCTAGTAATGTTAAATTAAAATATAATTTTAAGTTTTAAGTATTAAAATACAAAAACTATGATGAAAATGAAATATTATTTTATAAATTTGAAAAATGTACGGAAAAAATTTAAAAAATAACCTAAAAATACATATAAATGTACCTTTATCTTTATCTTTATAGAATGTATTAAGTCACAAATGCGACTTAATACATTCTATAATTACATTTTTTCTGGTATTTTGGGGGGGTAAAGGAGAACAACCAACTACTGGTTTCCTACATTTATTTTGTACACATTATAAATAAAAACAACATTTTATTAACGATAATGATTTTCTAATAATTAATTTTAATAAATAAAATCATTTTTAACAATCAAGCTAATTATTATTTTTTCAGCAACGTATATTTTTAGATAAGAACACCTTTTTTTTTGTATGATTTATTTTTGAATTAAATAAATAATAATTTGTAATATGAGCAATTATACATAATTATTAGAATCTATCAATGAATCTAAAATGTATAGCAATTATACTTTATCGTTTTAATTAAATTTAGTTAATACTAAAATTGTATACGCATGGGTCCTATAGTTTTTTAAACAATGGTTTCTGTAAAAATATAAAACACAATAATGCAGATATTTTAAAAAATTCAATAAAATCGTTAATATATTTATAATGGATTATGTTTAAGTATGCGATGTTGAATTTGTCGTCTTTTTTTCACAGAAATTAGCTGTTCTGTTTACGGAGTTTGAGCAAAAATTGATATGAGCAAATATATGACCTAACGTATTGTTGTATTCGAGTAGACATACATCAAAATATATGAAATCAGCTTTCGCTGAAACATCAACGTATTACTGTATTGCAATATTGGGCTACATCCATCATGTCCGAGTTACACTTGCACCTGAATATATTATTCGTCATTGTTATGGTCATAATGCAGAATACGGTAACAAGTACCAAATTTATATCGACCCAAGGTGACAATGGTCACAACGGAGCCAAAAATAATTGTAATCCAAGTTTTGAAAACTCCAACAGTATAGAAGAACAGAAATTCATCAAAACTTTTGACTTAATAAGACTTATGAATGAGGCTTATGCTCTTAAGCAGTTTTATTGTATCGTAGAGAAGGAGCCCTGTGATGAAGTTGGACAAAGAATCAAAGGTATAATTTATGTATATAATATATGTATAGTGTGTTGGTGCAGTTAGATTTATTAATTGATTGGGGATAGGTATATAAATATATTAAGCATAAAACATATTTTTATGATGTTAATTTTAATTTTTATTGATAATTCCACTAACATTACATTTATGGTTATCGTAATTCTTGTTTTCGTGTCTACGAAAATCGGCGTTATTGTATGCGATGCCATACGTAATAATGTACGAATAAAATAACTTTATGTGGTCCACCATATACCTAACGACATATATGACAATGGGTGGTTGGGGGTTACAGGAGATTTTAATACCTAACTCACTAGCTGTAATACTGTGTACAACATATTTAAATAATATTCACGTAAAAATTGTTACAAATTGGCTAGTGCTGTGACTACTGATTCAATATCTGCCAAGAACGTTCACCAGATTTTCCAAATTTTTTAAAAATATTTTTTCACATATCATCATTGACCCAACTTGGGAGGGACTTAGGAGAACTTAGGGACTTATCCCTCAAGTATATTTAAGCCCCCTAAATTGTTTTGATTATTTATGATTTAATAATGATTTAAGCAGAAATTTAAAAGCAGAAATGATGGTTACACAAAATCTTAAAAAAACAATCTACCGATAATTAAATGATGACACCTCTAGTAATGGCTGAAATTGTATCACCCAACACCCTTCCAAACTTATATAAACTTTTGAATATTGCTTATACACTTCCAACTAGTAGTTCTACAAGTGAAAGTGCATTCTTTGCTATACAACGGGTGAAATAATGTTATCATGTAACGTTTAATAATGTCACAAGACTGTTTTTTAAATTTAGCATTATTAAGCGTAGAAAAACATTTAACCAATACCATTGACAGTGATACTGTTCGAGAACATTTTCTATATTTTACTTAATGATATTTAATACTTAGATAGTTAAATGTATTATGTAAATTAATAGAAAACACATATTTAAATATTTAAAATAACTAAGTAATGGGAAAAAAAAACTGATTCACAATATTATAAATAATAATAATAAAAACACTCAAATGTTTACCACCTTAATTACATCTTAAATATATACTATAGGATAAAATTAGGAAATTCTAGAAAGTTGATACACGTTAACTAAACAATAACATTATTATTCTTAAAATGAATTTAAAAATTTCATCACAGAGAATGAAGTATTTTAATATATTATATGAAGTTATTATATTATGCTTGGTATAAAATTTTTAAAATATATAATGGAATTAATGAGGACCAATACTATAAGAAATTAAAGAACATGCATTTTTAAAAAACAGTTAACAAAATAATCATTTAAATAAATATTTATTTTGGTTTTTCGCCAATTTAATTAAGTCTTCATCATTTTTAACATATTCGTTATATTTATCACAGAAAATGCTCTTTCAGTAAATGAACTACTTGTGGATAATGATGATAAAAATTAAAATAATAAAACTATATTGGGCAATTCAGTCAGTATCTTTCTGAAAAACAAATTTCCACTTTTCTGAAATATTTTTCATATTTTACAAGTCTTTTACCATGACACATTTTTTTTTTTTAAAAATAATTGTACAGTCAATATTTCATCAACATTTTGTTAAAATTAGTTTTTTATATTCGAGGTATGTGATGAACAACGATATTATTCGTGGACGATTGTAAACACTGTACACGTCACTAGTCGCGGACACCATAATAATATGCATATTATATTACCAATGATGAATACTGGACGGCTAAAAATAATATTAATATTTTATATAATGATAACTAAAAATAATAATTAAACGACAGTAACAATTTGTCGATAACTATGATAACTATAACCATGGTTTTGTTTCCATTAGTTCTATCCAAGATATAGAGAAAATGTAATGTAAAATACTATGATCCAATATATTAGTGTATTAGGTAGTATATACAATTAGTGATTAAGAATAAATTTATAAAATTGAAAAAATAATTAATAATAATAAAATATAGATAGCCAGTAAATATTTTTGTGAAATATAAACATCATTGTTCTGCATTAATGTTAAAACATTACTGGACGTATGACAAATTAAACATATGTAGAATAGTCCTCTTCAATGTAAGACGGTTTGTAACTCTATACATGATGAGAGTATGATATGGACAAAATAACTACAAAAAATCGAAGTTGTTTGTTTTATTTTATTCTCAACAATCTAATACGTGGATGAATATTTTTTTCTTCTAAAATTAGAAAAAATATTTAATGTGTTCAGAATTGTTTATAGAATTTGATACTTATATTTTACCCCTACAATGACAAAAATATCATTATTTCCAACTATTCAGTTAACTATTGGAAATAAATATTGAAATATATCTTATTCTGTTTTGAAGTATTAGTTTTTAAAAGTCACTACACTTACAGCAGGTATTTAAAAGACCATAAATTTTACATTTTATATGTTTTATAAACGGCAAAATTATGTCTACCTCTACTCTTTGTCTTAGTCCATTATTTTGAAATGTTTTCTTTTTTGTATTATTTGTAAACGTGACTGTCGGTATTATATTATTTATTGTTTGTGTGTTTGTTTTCAGCTACTATATCTGAAGAAATTTTAAGGGACTGCAGACGCTGTACATCAACTGAGAAGAAAAACATAGAACGTATTATAGATTACGTACAAAACAATTTTCCTCAATTTTGGGATGAGATTAAAAGAGTTTATCAGGTTAAAAAAAATAATAAATGTATTTAACTTTGATAAATTAATGCAATTATGAATTTATAATTATATACATAAATTAAAACATACTTTTACATAAATAAACTATATTTATTTCAACGGAATTATAAATATGTGTTTTTATATAATATATTGATTTTTTATACGTTGCATAATAATGTATAAAGTACAATATAATAATGTTTTATTATGATCTTATGAATCTATACTAAAGCGAGAAGTAAATATATAGGAATATGGAGAAATAATATTTTGACTAATTAATGTTTAGCAGATGCGGAAGATGCTTCCTTTTCGTATTTTTCCAATTTCTTCTTGTACTCGCCTGTTGGGTCAAATCTAGCAGTCAAACGTTCGAAGTCAGAAGCACGGTTCTTGATCAAAAATCTTATCACTTTATCGGATCTGTTCTTTTGAATTTCCGTGCATTTACTGCAGTCGGTCTTTAGTGCATCTGGCAAGACTTCTGTGAATTTCCAAAAAAAAATAAACGATTAAAATCCATAAATATCTAAAGGTATTGTTATTATTTATACATGGTGAAGAATATAGGTAAACAATTTTTTGTTCGTTTATTTTAATACAAATGAATTATTATGTTTCGAGAGAAATATTTTATACCCTTTGTTTCCTTCTAAATACTCCACGGTGATTCGGCCCGGATAAATAAGAATTACAACACCTGGTGAAAGTGTTATCTAACTGAGTATGCAAGGTCTTATAGTTAGAGACTAGAGTACATAAACGCACTATGTGAAAGTGAAAATTGTAATCTAGAGGATTGTAAATCGATAACAATTATATCATTATTATTGTAATTGATTTAAATGTCTTAATTCGAAAGAAAAGGTTTTAATATTTTTTTAATGGTTTTTCATTGCAGGATTTCAATTTACAAAGATTTTATTACTAGTATTTATCGGTTAAATGAGTACTACTTAACAATGTTAAAATATAGTTATGAACAGTTGACTCACTTTTTAATTCTCTGCCTTCGTTAGTACAATTTCCCTCATCAAGTAAGCACTTAATGTAGTTGGTTAAGATTCTGTTGTTGTTCAGCACTTTGTCAACATCAAAGTTGTCGAATTTGGTGGTGTACTTTTCTTCAGCAAATGTGCAGTAAACCAATGATGCAACAACTAAAAAACACAAACTAAGACGAGCCATTTTTTCTTTCTAGCGTATGGTTTTCTAACCAAATGTGTTTAACAGTCAACACAGAAATATTACTGAACACTAAACACGACGGATAACATACCCCGCTATTTGCAGCCTTATATACTAGTTCCCTGCCGGCCAAACTTAAGAGAGGAGTACTATTTGGTTCTAAGTGGGAGCGGTATACCGGTTTTCAACAACGTACCAGCCTATAGCAAATGCTAACTAACTTTTAAAATTATATACCTGAAAAAATGTTGCGCAGCTTGTAAACAAATAAAAATTAAATAAATCTCGGTTTATCATGATATTTTGTTCATGATATCTTTTAATATTATATTTTAAAGAGTGCAAGATTATGTATTGTTTTATATGCGTTATCTAAATATGTAACAAATATGCAAGATTTTGACAAATTCGAGAAACATAAATCCTTCGAAGATATAATGGGCGGTGGTCTTTTGGGTGAAGGTAATTTTGACCAAAAAAATAATAGTCTGTTTGGACAAGTGAAATTATTTTTACCTGTGCTAGATAAAAATCTGATGACAGATAGGGATGATATTATTGCTAATAAAAAATAAAGAGTTTATACAAAAAACGTGGAATAAATATAAAAGAGGGGATATTATCCAATTATAATACATAAAATGTTTAAAATATCAGGCCAAGAGATAACTTTAAAAACTACTATTATTACTAATAATTATATTATCTGTAATTTTATTTTATTATTTTAATTTTTTGACTGTTAATTATTTCCTACTTATAAATAAAATTATTATTAATATCCATATCAATATTTTTTTTAAACAGAACTTATAATTTTTTATTTATATTTTATATGATTTCCTTTAATTCATTTTTGAATGTATATTATGAACATTTTCATACAAAGCCAATATTGATTAATAGATTACTTTAAAATATACTAATTATATTATATGTAATTGTATTTATAATTTTTTGACTGTAGATTACTAACTACTTATATAGTTATATATTATATACAATAATATTAATAATATTCATATCAATATTTTATATAATTTTGTTAAACTAATTGTTGAGTGTATATTATAAGCATTTTTATACCATCCAAACGGTATTTTTAATTAAATAGTTCTCGCCCAAATATCTATTCGCCCAAACGGTATATATTTATTCGCCCAAACAGACTATATTTTGGGTCGATTCGCCCAAACGGTGTACGCCTGATATAATTATGAAGTTGGCTGAAGAAGGGAAAATCCAATCAACCCAGGATGTAATTTTATCGAAAAATTAATTAAATTTTACATACATATTATTTTATTTTTAATAGTGTAGCTAGATTTTAATTTTTATACATATTTTGAATCTCAATAAGTACTTTTTAAATAAATAAGTTTTTAATTTTAATCATTTTTTTAGTTTTTTTTGGTGATTTGCCTTATTGACTCATTCGAATAATGAACTCAAATGGTCAAATTCCAAAATGAGTCTAATAAGTGGCGATCACTGTAATTTATATTTTTTTTATAAAAATGTATCATTTTATATCATTTTTTTAAATTTTCACTTCAATTGGCAATACATTTTAATTTTGTTGAATTATGCACGACTATGAAATAATCGCTAAATATGTTTAATAATATGCAAAAATAATTTTGTTTAAATTTAAAACCATCATGATTTGTACAGATTTTAGATGAAAATACAAAAATATGAAAGGGAAAACTATACAATTCTATATAAATCCGCACTTAAGTTGTATTGTATTTATATAGTCTTCTGATTATAATGTATTGACGGTAAGACTGCTCAGTTAAATGTAAAAAAAAAAAATATAACAATAGAACATAATAATTGTCATCTAAAACGAGTCCCTTTTTCTTTTTATGTTTTAAAAATTAAAAGCATTTTTGCTTCATAGCAATTTGACATTGCGAATCCATCATGCAACCGATTTAATATAATATGTCAAGGATCGTCATCTAAGATTTTACGGTAAATACAAAACGAACCGTAAAACTTCTTTAACAATTATAATTATACTGACCTTGGTCTTAATTTATTAATGGTATTCTGTCATTAAACTAATAAATAGTACTCAAATATTTATTAATAAAAGTTTAAATAATCGTGTCTACTAAAACTAACCGGAAATAATTTACTCAATTCCTTCGAAATCACTGAATTATTTTTCTGATTTCCCTTGATGTCTAGGAAGTTTTAATGTCATGTCAACTATGCATTTTTCATTGTTGTAAAATAATATTATTCTCTGCGTACCTATACCTCTTCAAAAATAATTATTTTCATTATTTTAAACATTTGATGATTATTTATAGTAAACAAATATGTATAAAATATACTGAACTATGATATAATTACTTCCAAGTCTTGTGTATATTATTTATTCATAAAAATAAAATCTTATTCGTAAAGAATTTTTTCAATGAGTGAAAATCGTTAAATCGTTATATAATTAAATTGACTACCTCATTCAAGAACATAGATGTTTGTTCATAATAAAATGACACTATCGCAAAGGTGGTAGCATAATCATTAAATTATATATTATTTTAGAGAATATTATTTTTAAGATTCTTATACCGTGTAGATGATGTAAAATTCAATAACACCAGTTATAATATAGTGATAATTAGAGCTCGGATTTCAATGCATTTGCATATTTTTTTTGGAATGTCTTACACGATGCATATCAAGCTATAAATGTGTTTTAAGTACTCCATATTGTAATCAAACATTTTTTGTGGCATTTTTTGCATTATTTAGTGGATTTTGGACTTTTTGGGGAATTTTTAAAGTTTTTAATTAATTTTTTAGTTTTTTAAGACATTTTTGACCTATTTCTCGTATTATGACTAAAAAAATTTATTCATTGAAATATAAACACAGTATTAACATTAACAAAGTCTATAAATGTTGTGGATCGATTTGTCAATTTTAATTTTTTACAAATTTTCTTATATTTTACTTATAATTTTATATAGATTTCAATAATTTCACTTGTTAAACAAATTTTTTTTTCTGAATTTTAATGTTTATTTATTTCATTAATACAAAAATAAAATTATTTAATGTACATTTATGTTTATATTTATTTTTTGAAAGGGCATTTTTAGAGTTTTTAGGTTACAAATGCATTTATTGATTTTTTTTAGGGCTTTTAATCCAATCCCTAGTGACAATAATTTATGCAATTAAAAATTTGATTAAAGGGGCTCTTAGCTGCATCTATTTTTTATTTTTATGTTTTTTCTTCCACTTTTAGTATATAATATAACATAAAACTTTTGTTTTATTTGTTTAGATTTTAATAAAATTAAATAGTATTATATATTTATTTTAATGTTTTGTATCTACTGTATACATTTATTGCTTGTATAATTCTATAGTTACACTTTCAGCTGCAGTAATTATTTTTAATTTTCATACTGTTATTAAACATTAAAAAGAATACTTTTTTTTTAAATTATATTTAACATATGTGATTTGTATGAAAAATAAATAAAAACAAACCATACATAAATTACCATAAATTTGACATTTAAGTGCTTAAAAAAAATCCCAATGAAGAAATGTATACTTTTCTACTTTAATTAAAGTCTAATAAGATTTTTCTGCATTTTCATTATCATTAATGTTAAAAAATATCTGTCGTAAATTTTAATATACATATATATATTTATATATATATATATCACTTACCTATATCTGTGCTTAATGTAAATAATTTTTTTTTTCGTAATTAAACTTATTAAAGTTAAGTTAAGTTAATGCTATTTTTTAACTAAATTGTTAACTTAATTAAACATGAACTCAATTAACTTAACTGAGCTAAAAAATATTATTAACTTGCTCAGCCTTGGTTTTATATAACTTTTAATAGCAATAAAATATTTTGTAAATAAACTTATGAAATTAAATATTTAGAAGATGCTAATTAAAAGTGCTTATGAAAATGAACATTGAAAGGAAAAGAGGAAGAGGAAGACTAAAAAAGCGATGGCTGCATACAATTGAGAATAACACGAGAGCTATTGGTGTGTATGTAGGAGGATGATGAAAATCGGATCGAGTGGTGGTTTAAGATAATGTTGGCCGATCTCATATAGTTAGAGAAAAGGTGAAGGAAAATAAGAAAGAAGAATTTAGAAGATAATAATTGAGTGGTAAGGGATGCTACTGACCCAAAGCTTCTACTTTAGTTATGCTAATTATGGTAATATTTTTTTAATATTTGATTAGGTAGAGCATACGAAGCCCAGGTATGTTCATACACAGAATAATATTTAATCTGTCATTAAAAATATCTTTTCCAGCTGTCAATAACAAATATTTTCTTAATATTACATAATCATTGGGACACTGAATATAACATTAAATAATTTTAATACCTTAGTGTAACAATTGTAAAATGTAAATATAAAACATTAATGTATTAACGCGATAAATTCACGATTAATAGGTTGTAATTGTTACCTGTATAAACATCCGATAAACCATAAATATTTAAAAATGGAAAAAATAATTTATTTAAATTGTCTTTGTTATTTTATAAGAATTTCCATAACTAATTAGTGATAATGAAAAGTGTATAAAATATACGATAGTATATACATGGAACACATAAATTTATGCTATTTGCTTGAGTGTGTAATTAATAATAAAGAAAATACAATCAAATTAAAATTGTAAACTTAAATATTACGCACGAGTATGTTATACTATCGGATTATTAGCGGTCGGATTAAAATAACATTTTATTATAATTAACATTCATATCACTATACAACCATGTTTATAATATAATTATAATTTTCATGGTATTTTTGGTATCTACTACGTCATCTCGACAAGGATTTATACACAGAATTGAATTGCACCTATTCAGAAATCTTATGGTATAATGTATAGGTATTTGGTTGCTATTAAAATATAGACCCATTTCTTAGTCGAGTGACTACCAAACTTTTTTTTACCAATGGTCATAAAATGTTATAAAAAAATTTCTTGAAGGGTCAAGAATTTAAACTTTTTCTTTTAAGTTAATAAAATACTAGATATAAATATTTTAAATAATATTTAATTACTTTTTTTAG